GCGAGCAAATACCCGCTGAAATCGCGAGCAATTAAAAGAAAAGAAGGGTTATCTTTTGTTTACTTAAATTGTATGTTGTAAAAAGCGTTTTCATTTAATTTTACTCAATTATTACATGGTATTGATACTAAAAAGCAACTTCTGCAAAAAAGGATCACGAGCTGATGTTCTGAGTTTTTTTATTTGATAATTGGAGAGAGAATGTATCATCTTGAATCTTTATCTATATATATCTATATTTTATAGCTGAAGAAGGTCATTGCCCTTCGGTTGAAATGGTCATAGTAATATGAAATGAAGGTATTGTGAGTTTCACTTCCTAAAGTTTCACAAAAAAATATATATTTCAATTTTACCATATCCCTCGAGGCCCCGCTTCTACCATGAGCAATAAACTAAAGATCCCGCTGAAAACATGAGGAGGCCCCGCTGAAAACATGAGGAGGTCCCGCTGAAATCAGGAGCAAGTGGCTCTCCAAAATGGAGTGAAGACCGATTTGACTTTGCAAATCTGCCACGACTGTAGCCAACGTAATAAATATATTAATTATTGATACTCTACAGAGTAGACTTAATGTATTTCGACCTGACTCCATCGAGAAATTTACCAAGAGAAGATTTAAATCCATTCCAAAACTTTTGACAAGTTTCAAATAACTCGCTCTTCTTTGTATGCAATATATATTTATATTTCACTGAAGTTACATTATACTATAGTTCAGTATATCACTACCTTAGAGGAATCAGCAGCAATGGCGCACACGTTTGAAAAGGCAATTTATGGATCCACTGCTAGATGTAAGTAACAAAGGAGTACATTGTCCGATTATAAGTCCGAAATAATAATAATCAAATAATTTCATCATTAACAATTAATCGTAGGTTATGTTAAACGCACGTGTTACGCGGAAAACATGAAGCAAATATGTGTCATATTCTGCAATAAATATGGCATATTCACTTGCGGTGTATGACAGATTCAGCTGCAGTATATTGCATACCCACTAAACAATGAGAACACGATACGGAAGTACGCATTTGTCAATTGCATTGATTGAACAAACGGGTAATCATTGTGGCATTTTCAACTCCGGTATACAACAAATTCGGCAAGTGAGTGTGACATATTCTGCAGGTGACTATCAGGTATTCACTGAAATCAATGTATCGCATATTCACGGCGGAATATCGCATACTCACCTGCGGAATATGCCATAAACTGCAGGTGAGTATGGCATATACTGTATACCCGTATCACAAATACCACGCAACCTTGAATGTATGCCATACTCCGCGTAACATCGTATGCGTTACGCGGAATATGGCATATATTCATGGTTGCGTGGTATTTGTGATACGGGTGTATATGCCATATTCAACTGCGGTATATGGCGTATTCCGCAGGTGAGTATGGCATATTCCGCATTGAATATGTGATACATTGATTTCAGTAAATACCCGATGCTCGCAGAATATGTCATACTCACTTGCAGAATATGCCTTACACCGCAGGTGAGTATGCCATATACCGCAGGTGAATCTGTCATACTCCACAAGTGAATATGCCATATTCATTGTGGAATCTGACATATATTTGTATCGTGTTTACCGCGTAACAATATGTCCAGGAAAACGGCTTATGCAGGACATGCGATTTATATGTCCCGGATCCTCGATTAGGTGGGACATACGAAAAATATTTGCCCGGATATGGAATATATTCCCGGTTGATATGTCCCTGAAATTTATCAGGTATGGAATACAAATCATTATTATAATAAATATTTAAAAACAAAAACTTGAATGTTATTGTTGAATTATAAAAGTAGAACCTGAATTATCATGGAGACTTTGTGGTTCTCCTTTTTCTCTAAATTTCATCTTCTTGCAACTTGGGGTGTCTTTATTTAATACAAGACTCATTCCCCTGAACCTCAGACTTCAATTAAGTTCATTCTTGAAATGATATCCACCTTTCTCCTATACATTTTGATATGGATGCAACTCTATAAAATGTTTGACGAAATCTCTGGTGGCTTGAAGTTGGAATGGAAACATTAGAAACCTGGCCCTAGAATGAAACAGTATATATACAGTAATTATTAGAAGTACTTAACTTGGTCTTTCGTGTACGTTTATTTGAAGAACCTCAATATTTTATGTAATAGTAATGAGCTTTCCTCGTGATCGAAGCGGGTACTCGTGATATCTGCTCCTGTCTTCAGCGGGACCTCCTCATGTTTTCAGCGGGGCTTCCTCATAATTTCAGCGGGGCCACTGGCACACCTTCAATGATGTATTTCACCCCCCCACAGTGGATGTTTTTGAAAACAAACTTATCGATACATACAATGTTGGTCCAGTATTCATAATGAGGTATGTATATCGTAGTTCTTGTCTCTATTTTAACGATAAAAGTAATATGTTAACAGTAAATTATGCAAACGTGCATATTGACGCCCGTTTCTTCCATGCCAGTAAAAATAGGTATCTTTCATGTCATTGTTTGTGAAGATATGCCTGTTCTGAAAGTATACCTAAAGTATCAAAGAACAGTAATGCGTATTCGTACCTTTTTGGTCCATATTTCCAGATGAATTTAATAAAAAGGACTTTGCTCGTGATTTCAGCGGGAACTTGCTCGCGACCTCTCAATTATAACGGGGCTTTGGATACTACCCGTGTATCAGGTCTCTGATGTCCATCTCCAGATATCACACAGACTACTGTATATGTTTGTACCCACAAGAGACATTAACATATTTGAACATATTTTATACACGTTTGTTTGATAAATCATTGAAGAGGTTTTAGTAGCACTATTTAGCCCTAGAGATTACATGTACATACCATTAGTGATTATAAAATATGTATGTAGATTTTAAAAACTGACGCACCTAATTATAAATGAATGTGCGCTGTTAAAAAGTGTTTTTAATAGTAAATTAAAAATATATATAAATATAAAGTGTAGGCATATTATGATAAACATAATTCACATGCAGTGCTAGTCTCCAACATCTATTCCGAGACACTGCATGGGAGTTTGATGATAAAACTTAAACTTCCTCGGCAGTCAGGCCTCTTAACTTTCCAACAACGGGAACATCAGTTCTGAGCTCGCGATCTACGTTCTTTGCGCTCGAACCACGATTCTCATGTCGCGAACGAGAAATCTTTGGTCGCAGCAGACTCCTTTTGCTTGCAGTAGACTAGATGCGAGTAGAAATAATCTTGATTTACGTCATCTAATATTCAGAATTCATTCAAAGTGATGTCATATTTGAAATCTACATGTAAAAGGACATCTGGAAATATGGTTTCGAAAATTGTTTATCAACTTTGAAAATTTAATTTTTTTGAAAATGTGACTTTTAGTTCGGGTTGATTCCCCATAGTTACAAAATCACAAAAAGTGAAATATCTAGATATTTTCTTGTATTGAATGGATAACATTTTCTTTCACTGGACATATTTTAATTTGCACAACTATTGGATACATAAGGGTTCTATGAAAATCGAACTACTAAAACAAAAGTTGTTTAGTTAAAGGGAACTATCTACTATACCCGCCATGCTATCTGACCCGAACGAGCCACCTGGTGGTGAAACTGGTAACTACCTACTCGCATCTGCGTTATTGGAATCTGAACTACCCGGATGCACTATGTACAAACTGTTTGCGAGCACGTGACGACGACGTGAGAATCATGGTTCGAGGGCAATCCCGGGGGGTTCACTCTATACAAACCTTGACAGGGGTCCTAGGCTGAACCCTCAGATAACAGTATGTTCCCATACCAATCTGTCAAATTTCAATATGTTCCCATACCAACCAATTTGCATACCCAAAGCCATACCAAATGCCCAAATACAGGACCAATGCCATACCAATTGAACAAATACAGGACCAATGCCATACCAATGGAACAAATATAGGACCAATGTCATACCAAATGAACAAATATAGGACCAATGCCATACCAAATGTTGTTGTTTTTAGAATCCATCCCACAAACCCCTCTTTCACGACCATTCTCATACCAGAAAGTGGAAAAATCAGACCATTGCCATACAAGATTTCATATATTTCGGGGCAATCCCATACCAAATCCTAAAATATGGGTCCATTGCCATACCAAATGCTGAAAAAGATACCCCATGTGGGCCGAGGATCCCCATCAAGGTTTATATACAGTGAACCCCCCGGGAGGGCAATGAACGTAATTCGCGAGCTCAGAACTGCTGTTCGCGTTGTCTAGGAGTCTAGGAGGCCTGGCAATGCTAGTCTTCAACCTATGTGTAATATTGTTATCAAATTGGCAAATTCCCAGGTTTGAGCTTGTAACATGGCTGCCATCCCTCCCTATTGTGACTTTCCAAAGGCATATACGCCCTACGAGCAAAACAACAACAGTGACATCTTTTTAAGATGACGTTATATTCGCGAACAATTTTCTTTGTTGTGGGGTTGAATCGGGACGTGACAAGTATCGTGCCATGTCTTGGATGCCACACTTAATTTGATCAATTGGGCATAGCAGAACTTTTCACACACTTTATCTGCTCATTCGGTGACAAATGAACCAGCAAATGCAATAACAATGTCAACCGTGCTTCGCTGCACTAAAGTCGGAAGTATACAATGTCACGATCCCTCATCTTAAAAGTCTCTATTTATTTTGGAAGAAACTCGATTTTTAAGTGAGCTTAATCCGACTTTTTACCCAAAACCCAGATTTTTAACAATCCCGATTTTTTTAAAAATCTGATCTTAAAAGAAGTTTAATTTTTGATATAACCTCCCGATTTTTCGTTCCAAACTCTCAATTTGTTAACGATACTTTCGATTGTAAAAACAAAATAGAGCTTACCAAGTATAAAACCAATGGTTTGAGAACATGTTGAGTCCATTGATCATACAACATTGGCAATCAATACAATTATTATTTTCTTAGCACGATCATATTGAACTGTTGATATCCTGATTTATCGAATTTGTTTTCTTTGTCAATCCTTAGTTTCACCAGTTCTATTTTTGGCAATCCCGATTTTTTACCGATTTTTTCGAATGGTGTCAAATTATTTTTTTGTAAACTCTAATTTTATTTCATTTATTTTCAAAAATCCCGAGTTTTCCAATTGCCACTTTATCTTTCAAACTATGATTTTTCTCCCAAAATATTTCAAAGAATACTGATTTTCTTTTCTATGGACGGAAGTGTATTTTACAGATTTCATAAAATTTGGCAGCAATGGTCAGACATATTTGTCCTTACGGAGACCTGCTGGTCAAAAACAGAACAGTACTTTTGATGTACCTACAACCTCTCCTACTGTGCCTAAACATCATGGGCAAATCAGATAAAACGAATAGCCCGACAGAAATTATAATTATTATACAGGGAGGCACACCAACAACCGCTGCATATTTTGCTTCGACTGGTACATGCTCTTTTTTCTTAGGAGGTTTATACACTTCAGATTCCAGCTTTTCTTTTATGATTTCGTTGATAAATAGTGGACGAATTCTAGGTGCAACAAAACTGTAAGTCGTAGTTTGTTGAAGGGTATTGTTTTGTTTAGTTGTTTGGGTAGTTGAATCAACAGTTTTTCCATCTTGTATAGTTGTTTGGGTAATGGGCTTACTAGTCACATCAGTTTGTGTCGTTGTTTGGGAAGTCGGCTCAGTAGTTTCATCATTTTGGGTAGTTGTTTGAGCACTAGGCTGAGTAGTTATTTCATTTTTTGATGTTGATTGAGTAGTTGGTTCAGTAGTTAATTCATTTTGTGTAGTTGGTTGGGCAGTAGACCCAGTAGTTACTACATTTTGTGTAGTTGGTTGGGCAGTAGACCCAGTAGTTACTACATTTTGTGTAGTTGGTTGGGCAGTAGACCCAGTAGTTACTACATTTTGTGTAGTTGGTTGGGTAGTTTGCTCAGTGGTTACTTCATTTTGTGTAGTTGGTTGGGTAGTAGGCTTAGTAGTAACTTCATTTTGTGTAGTTGGTTGGGTAGTTTGCTCAGTGGTTACTTCATTTTGTGTAGTTGGTTGGGTAGTTTGCTCAGTGGTTACTTCATTTTGTGTAGTTGGTTGGGTAGTAGGCTTAGTAGTTACTTCATTTTGTGTAGTTGGTTGGGCAGTAGACCCAGTAGTTACTTCATTTTGTGTAGTTGGTTTGGTAGTTTGCTCAGTGGTTACTTCATTTTGTGTAGTTGGTTGGGTAGTAGGCTTAGTAGTTACTTCATTTTGTGTAGTTGGTTGGGTTGTAGGGTCTGAAATTACATCAGTCAATGGTGTCGATTCTGTGATAACGACTTAACATGTCATCAACGATTTTATCGTTCATGATTTCGGAACATTACGGATATTTTGACAATAGTACTAAATATTATAATTTAATCAGATCACATCTGACATACACTGGGTCAGATGGATTAACATCTATTTTTAAAGGGCATTGCAGTAAGCAATAATGAACTTGGTGAGTTTAGATTATTTCTATATGCAGATGATTCTAACTTATTCTAAAAAGACAATAAAAACTCAATACAAGCAATTCAAACAATTCATTTAGATTTTATTGTTTCTGGATTAGAATAGAACTAAATCTAAACAAAGCTGGAGGTATTTGGTTGGGGAGAAGTAAAAATAATGAAAATAACTTTGAAAATATAAAGTTTAACAAAAGCAATGCGTTTGTTTAAATCAAACAGTGGATCAATGGATTACATTAATGTTAAACGTACTTTTTGAATTCGACCAAACTGCCGTAAAATAGTGACTGATCACTACTTAAAATAATTAGGTAATTTAGGCATAAAGAAAGTGGGTCTCGGAGTTAGCTTTTCCATTCATTTGCCCTTTCTTCTTTCAATTTGTTTTCTTCAACCAAACAGGTGTAAATTGCAATTAAAGGCCTCGTGTAAAGTTAAATTCACATGCAGCCTGATTAAATGGTACAGAAGAACATAATCATTAAGCTAAAACATGATAAATTCTATTGTTTAACCTATAAAAGACAACATGATTGATTTATTTTGAACAGAGTTGAAAGATATTTCAAGATAAGATTCACAAGATTGTTAGGATAACACGAAAAAAACATTATTTAATATACCTACATCTTGTATCGTGAATTCGGACTTTATTCAAAGTATTGACAACAAGCCACTCGTGATTTGAATCATTAACAATTCCTTGAGCCCTGGGCTTAAATTCGTTAATGATATAGCTATAGTAAATTGAAAGTAACCTGTTAGGGACCTCTCAGCATATGTATATGAAGCTGAGCATGGGTTGCTTATCGTCTGGGTACCCGAGAAATCCTTTGAGAGATAACACCTACTGTTGTGTACACCATAATCAATTGATCGGCATACAATTGTTGTCTCAGCTTCACACAGTGTTTTGCAATCGGCCATAGAATTGACATAGTCTTTTCTTACGTCGTTGAATCCTTCCAGACATGCCCCTGATGGATAATCCACCCAACTTGGTGAGGTATCTACAAATGAAAAATAAAATATAACACTATGTACAGGGTGGGCCAATAATGTGCTTTGAATATGTCATAACTTATCTATACGTATCAAACTTTCTGACATGCTAAATTGATGTTTCGTTACATTTTAAGTACGTCTCTGTGATTTTAGGCGGCTGTCAATCAAATCAACTTGTCCATTTTTGTGAATGACTTGTTCCACAAACTCGTAAACATACTTGTTTAGCAGTCAAACTACGTTATGAAATTCGTTTAATTTTTTGTTAGGCCATTTCGTGTTCCTTCATTCATGTATCTAGCTTTCTAAACATCGTTGTTTTCGGATATGATTCAATAGATTCCTCGTATTGTGTTTTGTCGAATAATATCTTCACTAGGGATCAACTAGAAATGCAGCATAGACGTTTTGATTTTTTGATTTTTTGTAACCTTTATCCATCAAATTATCTTAAGTCTGTGTGTAGTAGTGGTGCATTGGTCCGGTTTTAAAATATGTTACATTTTAGACATATCATGGATATTTACAAATTAGTTCCCTCGCTTGAGAAACGAAGACAGTTTCCCTTTTTGTAACAATGCGATACAGTACGAATACCTCTTTTATTAGCAAAAAGGCATTCGTTTTTATAAAGTGCGGGTCACATTTGAACTTGAAAGCACATTGTTGTTGTTTTGGAGGGGCGTAACTCTCTTGAGTTACTACTACTGAGTCCTTCAAATATCATGATTGAAATGCGCTGTCTTCGTGTCATGCTTCAGAAACCTATATATACCGTCTTCGTTCCTCCGAGAAACTCTCTTCGTTTCCTAAGCGATGCAATTGTTTTGTATAGTTATCCAAATAATTACTGTATTTATTTCTTAGGTATAACAGTATTTCGAAACCAGAACCTACGCATTACATAAGGGCCAAATATTTAGTTGAAATTTGATGGTTAAGGGTAAAAATTTGACAAAACAAAAATTCCCATCAACCGGAAGTCCGAACATGATGAAACGAGTCCCCCTAACCTCCTCTTACATTAGGCATTGATAACAAAAGAGATCGTGATCCGTGCAGTAATTAAAAATCACTAACTGCGAAAACGGAAAAAATCGAAATTAGCGATTTGTTAATAAAGCCGATCAGCGTCCCAATGCATAATTTACTATCTTTGCCATTGATTTGCCGAAAAATTACTTGCCATAGTCAATCTCAATATTGGCATCCACGCCATGGGGTATGATCGAAAAATTGAAGCACGCTATTTTTTAACTCAGATGTTTTGTTATGTCAAAGAATTACTAACTCATTCAAAGCATTGGAAATATCATTTGCTATCACGATACAGCTGGGTTAGAAATAAATCATGTGATCCCCCATATCGGAATTTAATTATTTCAAGGTTGTCAAGCTAAAGATCCCATATCATCTGAATATATAAGTTATTCACTTGGAAGGATTGAATATGAGTTATTGACGGATGGAGTTATGTATATTCACCGAGGAACCGAGAAAATGAAATACTTAAGGAATGCATTTTAGACAGGTTCCAATTCCAATAATTCAAGTTTTTGAGGCATTTTTTAGAAAATGCAACAGACCTATTTTTACTAGATCAGTTTTTCATGCTGATAAAGATATTAAAAGATGACAGCTCAACGGGGTGGTCACGACACTAAATTTTGGCATTTTACCCCCCTAGGAAAATATTCTAGGGGGTACTATGAAACTAGTTCATAACTCAAAGGATATATGAGCTATTGTTCTGAGTTGTACACCATACATTGCTAGTACAAATATGAATACTATCCTAAAGTTATAGGTTGATACCCTTATTGGTCTCAGAAAAATACAAAAAACAGGAAAAAGATATGCAATTTTTGTCTTGCCAATTTTATATTTGTAGCTTCAAGCACAATATGACAGCTTTAAAAGCTCATAGTAGTATTCTAAAAACATTTCCAAGCTATGTGTGGTATTGTAATACATCTATTTTAGTTATGAAGTACTATTTTGTAATTTTAATATGACTTTATAGTGCCCTACCCCTGGAAAATTGAAGAAAGTGGATGTTGTGAATTTTATCATTTTGCAGCATTAAGTTAGAAACATGTATTGATAGACACCAAATCAATAAATTCATACCATCATCAAATGTTAGGTGACATTCTAATTCATTTATTACTAGAATATAGGACTTAAGATATTTTATATGTAAGTTTTCAATTTAATACATGTATCATAATGAAATCTAGTGTAATCACATACTAGAGAGGTTGGCATACAGTCTCAACATTGACATAAAGTCTAAACATTATAATCATCAATTGATCTCATTTGAGCAACTAGACTATGGTGGTCATCATGCACAAGTAATGTACAGTAGAACCTGCTAAGTGGAACACCTCTGTAAGTGGAACACCTCCCAAGTGGAACGCCTTTTCAAAGTCCCGTTTTAAAAACCCATTGACTTAATGTTAATTGAACCTCTGTAAGTGGAACACCTCCAAACTTGAACAGTGAACACCCCATATTGAAAAATTAACCTGCTAAGTGGAATTTCCATAGATTTCAATATTGATATATGTAAACAGAATTAATCTCCTTCAATGATATCTGGGTATGAAAACAGGTAATACTGTGATAATTGGCAAATTAGGACTTTAATGGATTAACCTCCTGTAGAAGTCAACATGTGATGCAACCAATAATTAATTTGATAATCTGCAAATTAGGATTTCATAAGATTATCATTCAGAAAATTGGATTAACCTCCTGTAGAACTGGACACGTGATGCTACCACTAAATAATATCCCTTGCTGTTTGTTTCAAACTTAATAAGTAAGATTAAAAATGTCATTTAAAAACAATTGAATTATTAGCAGTAGGAACAAGTCTTTAAAACTTAATTGCCTAATCTTTGTACCCGAGACTGGCACAATTAGGAGGATTAAGAATGTCAGAAAACATTTTTGGCAGAATGAGGAGGATTAAGAATGTCAGATACCTTTTTGAGTAAATTAAATGGATTATTAATGGTATATACCTGTCCTGTAATGAAGGGAGAATCATATTTCCAATGATACATATAAATCCTATATTTGATCTTGTATGTTCCCTGCGAACCGAAAACCTCCATAAGTGGAACACCTTCTAAGTGGTACGCTTTGTGGCAGAACGGAGAGTGTTCCACTTACACAGGTTCTACTGTATTTACATAATAATGTTATCAAGGAGCATGTAGGTTATCGCAAACAACTTCAGACAATTCTAACTTGAATTATGAATATTTTCTGACTTTAAAGACACCGAATTGTTAACATTGTTAAAATGATGGCATTTTTGGTGAAAATGAGGTCAACAACTTTGAAAAAATATATTGATGGGTTGATTGCTAGTGAAATATCTCTGAGTCCGATTGACTTAATTATCGCTGTATACCTGTCTTCATGGTCAGAAAATAGTCATAATCAAAGATATAACTGTCTGAAATTGTTTTTGATTACTTACCTGAACCTTTCCAAGTCAAATCAGGAGTGACAAAATTATTTCCACCAAATTTTTGACATGTCTTCAAATACAATAATATTTTCTTCATAAGATAGAGTGTCACTTGTGAACTTTATTGATTGACCTGAGATCGTACCACATCTTTATGACATAGAAGCGAAATAGCCATATTGAACTTTAATGATGTTTGTTTAATTGTTGTTTGCCACTTTTCGACAATTGTCAAAATTTGGGGGTTTGGGGGAGGGGTACAATTAGGTTAAAAAATTCACCTGATTCAGACTATCCTTAAATGAGCACTGATTCATCCGAGAGCATAACTTTTTCAAAACATGTAAGTGTTATTTTTGGACCACTCACATTAATGTTTCGTCTAATTTTCCCTCAGAGTTTCATCATCATTGTCCAAATCTTAGGCCATATTTGTTGAGATATATGAATGTTCATTATTAAAATCTTGCCTTCCTTTGCAGTTGGAAAAGATTCGGCATTAGGTGTTATAAGTCCCAGAGCACGATAAATAAATAAGAATAACAACAAAATGACATAGAACTGATAGACGTTTTCTCTTGTGCGTGTCAGCCATGGTCTACCAAATTGCTATTCAGTAGGAAGAAACTCATTTTTCAGTTTCCATTTTAATTTCCTGACAAATAGAGCGATCATCTCAGGATTTTTTCTATGATCTACGTGTCGCCCTAGCAACTGTTTTAGAGAACAATAGAACAATAGAAAAGATTACTTTACCATAATTTTAATCATCCCACATTGTAGACATATTTAGAATTAAAAATATGAAGAGAATGACAAAACCTCTTAAAACACATTTCTTAGGAAACAAATAGTGTCGTATTCTTGTTACTATGGCAACAGAGTTTTTTCTTTTTGTCATTTTTGTCATACAGATTACCTATCATACCAGGACCAAATCCTGAAAATTTGAATTCAGTATCTTCATTAGTATCTTAGATATATAGGTTTCTTATAGTATCCCCTGCAGATTTTATCGGAGTATAAGGAAAATGCTCTGAAGAGGGTTGCCCAAGGATGCCACTTAACAGTATTTTTGAGGTCCCAACCCTCTATTCATGGAAATAGTTAACCATTGTAAAGCTTCTCATGGTTAACTGACAGAATTGATTGTATCTTCAACTAAGAAGACAATAAAATGTTAAAAAAACAGAAGAAACCGACACCAACTTTCTTCTATTTACCAGGGGTAGGGCACTATAAAGTCATATTAAAATTACAAAATAGTACTTCATCACTATAATAGATGTATTACAATATCACACATAGCTTGGGAATGTTGTTAGAATACTACTTTGAGCTGTTTAAGTTATCATATTTTGCTTGAAGCTACAAATATAAAATAAGCAAGAAAAAAATGACAAAAATTGCATATTTTTTTTCTAATTAATTGTATTTTTCCAAAACCAACAAAGATATCAACCTATAACTTTAGGGTAGTATTCATCTCTGTACTAACAATGTATGCTGTAGAACTCAGAACAATAGGTTATATATCCTTTGAGTTATGAACTAGTTTCATAGTACCCCCTATAATATTTTCCTAGGGGGGTAAAAACGCTAAAATTCAGTGTCGTGACCACCCCGTTGAGCTGTCATCTTTTAATATCTTCATCAGCATGAAAAACTGATCCAGAAGAAATAGGTCTGTTGCTTTTTCTAAAAAATGCCTCAAAAACCCTTTCCCTTGAGATATTCTGAAATTGGAACCTGTCTATTTTGTTTTAATCGTTTTAAATTTTTGATCGTTTAATCAAGTGGTTGCAATTTTCTCGTTTTGTTCAATACATACCTTTTATCAGATGAATCCAGACAATCAGCACGATGTATTCGGATGCTACCCTCATTTTCCTAATGTCATAACTGACTCCAAGTAAAGCCGTATTTAATCCATTCTATTTATAAATATCCTCATTTCGTATAGTAACGCATTTATATACAATCCTAAAAAGACTCTGTGAATGTATTTCAATCATATTGCTGAATTTTGACAAAACGCATTTCGACATTGACAAGTGTTGTAGTCCAAGTTGATGATACTTATCAAAAGCATGTTTAGACCTTATCCGATCTAATAATATCCAATCTCCAACTATCTGATGACTATATAGTACGCTGCAGCGAGCTTTAGTACTTTTATTGAAAAGTAATTTGTTGATGAAATATGTTATTGTATTGTATTGTTATTTTATGTGTCCCCTTTATCAATTAATTGATCATTTTATACCAATTCTCAATTCACGGAAGGGCTTAGTGTAGCAAAACTGACAAAGCCTTGTGAATGTACTAGGTCGTTCAATAAGTTCACGGAAAATGTTCTCATTTCAAATGTTTTTAATATTTTTTCATGAAATTTTCACATAATATGCAAAAATGTATATTTATCGATTCATCATTCAGCATCTCTTAATTGATTGGCTAGTATGGTTACTTGACTTTTTGGTAGGCGGACGCACAATTAGATTAGATCGCACAATTTACAATTACATTAATCAAGCATTGCTTGCAAATGAAAGCGTATTTCCCTACATTTACTTGTTCTTCTTTAATTAACTTATATTTAAATGTAGTACAATATAATGGTATTACAATCACAGTTGGTAAACTTTATATATCACATAATTGTTCATGACATCATCAAGCAAAAGCCACACTTGAGAGATTCCTAGACTGAAGTTCTAAAAGAGGAGTACCTTTCACAGATCAGATCTGCCACTAGATTCTATGTCCTTGGAGGGCAGACCAAACAAGAAACGATGCGTGAGATTTGGAAAGTGTATGGTAAAGATGCTATAATGAGGCAATGCTTGATTTATCTAGAAGGATGGGTTAAGATATGTATGATATATGGAACAATGTAGGAAGTTTCAACAGCAGTTCAAATGGCCCTTCGAACATGTTTCACAAGGGCGGTTTTAAAGTTGCTAGCAACTCCAAAATATTAGGTTACATTCACACAATTCATTTATGGTACAGAAAGTCCGCATTAGTAAGTTTAATTAACAGCATTGCTTGATACTTGATTTTCATTGGCCAAGCTTGAGGAATATTAAATTTGAAAAATGTTATTACTGTTTTTAAATGTCTTATTACAACCAAACAAAATGATGGAGTTGAAATCTAATTGCAGAATATAAACATCAAGACATTGAAAGATACATATAACAAAATCTGAAGCAATACATCTTCTCAATCATTATGAAATTTGAGAAAATTGACTAGCTTTGAGAAAATATCAAAAATTCAGTTATTTTGGCTGTTCCATTAGTCTGCCTCCTATTTATACCCCATGTCCCTCCCTAAAGGAATATTCCCTGCCAGACCCTTTCTCTCTTGATATGGTAGCTATAATCATATATATAGTTTCCATATTTAGCAAAACATGGGAAAATGTTTTAATATGGAAAATATTGATCATTTAAAAATCTACTGCTTATTTCCAGTGAGCTGCCATCTTTTAAGATTTCTTGCAGGAAGTGATGTCATCAACTCTCAACTTCTATAACCTTGCCCATAACAGTATAGGAAAGTAGCACAAAATCACTTCTAGACAAGTGATCATTACTTTCTGTGCAAAAAAATTTTCAGGTCTTGTCAACTTAGAATAAAAGAAGAGATTTTCAGAAGGATTAAATAAGATACACAGTTGAAAAAGAATATTTAGCTGGTTTTGTAATTCTTAATAGCTCCTCACCTAATGCTATATGCAAAGTTGAGAGTCGATGACATCACTTCCTGTGTGAAATTTTAAAAGATGGCAGCTTACTGACAAGTGCTAAACATGGCAAGCAGTATATGGTTATAGCTACCATATGCATCCTCCGATCACAGGGCTTCAAAATCCAGAATATCTTCTTTCTTTTTACCCCCTGCTATAACCAAGTTGGACGCGCCCGATTAAACTGAATCACGTGATCTTATTATGCGCCGATGACGTATACATGATTTCTGTCGCAGTGTTGCCGATGACGTATACATGATTTCTGTCGCAGTGTTGCGACAGCCAATCAAATTGCGAGTTCTTAATCGGGGAAATGCTAACTGCTTATAGCAGGGGGAAGAAGGAGGAACGGATTCTGGACACCTGCTTGGGAGGATGACCATATGAGGAGAGAGATGGTTTGGCAAGGAATATTCCTTTAAGGCTTCAGAGTACAGCATCACCGATGGATTTATCTGGTGACCTCTTTCCCTCATTATCTTATACACAATCCACAACGTAAATGTAAACGGAAAGTAGATGTACAGGTATATCCCAGATGCGAGTAGAAATAATCTTGATTTACGTCATTAAAAATTCATAATTCAGTCAAACTGATGTCATATTTGGAATCTACATGTAAAATTACATTTAGAAATGTGGTTTTGAAAAGAGTTTATCAACTTTGAAAATTTAATTTATTCTGAAAATGTGACTTCTAGGTCGGGGAGATTCCCCATAGACCCCATGTTGTAAAACCACAAAAAGTAAAATATCTTTTCTTGTGTTGGGCAGATAATATTTTCTTTTACTGGACATATTTTAATTTGCATAACTATCAGATACATAAGGGTAATATGAAAAGTGAACCACTAAAACTGATGCATTCGAGTTTAAGGGAATTTTGTTATACCCTGCCATGTTAATTCCCCCGAGTCAGCCACCTGGTGGTGAAATTGGTAATTACCTATTCGCATCTGAGTAATTGATATAGGAATTGTCATACAATAAGTATAGTATGAATATGTTTGTCCATATTATCATTGCGCAATGGTCTTTAGATTTCTTATATTTTAGGTTCAACTATTCACTATGAAGTAATTTTAACAGACTGTATGAGTTTATAAACAGATTGAAAACATGCACTGTATTGAATCATCGGTCTGATTGAACGCCCGTTTTGGTACAATGCATCAGTTATTGGATGAACATGTCAGCATCACTGAAATATCATGGATATCAAATGATGCGAATAGCGCCATTATTTTTTTAATATCCACGTACAAGTTTAGCTCATATTAACAATAATAATTAACTAATAAAATAACAAATGACCTCATTCGAAACAGAATATTTTGCAGATTTGAATAGGAGAAATAGAGCTTTTTGTGTAGGTGATTCACTTTAATTACGATGCCCCTCTGATGTAATGTTCACGCACGGGTTTACGAAAGACCCCATACCAGGCTGCATCCATGCTTTGATCATAAAATATAAGTTTGGTACAAATTCCGAATGCAGTGACATGTGATATACATTATGTATACGTATTTATATAGTACTATGTATAACAATACCAATGAGAAACAAAACCATGCTTTGGTTAAAAATGGAAGGAGAAAAAATCATTTCGTTTGATTGCTATCTATATTTACAATATCGTTTCAAGATATTGACGATCATGTGGGAAATTATTAATTACATCATCGCATGTAAAATGATACCATAGCATCGCTAAAGCTAAATTTTAACATCTTGATCTTTACATCTATATGAAATATGATCCCCAATAAAGTTTCCGATCGAACAACATTTGTATTTTCGACCATTGATAGTAAAATACATCATAGCGTTCATATACAATGTATATTACGCTAGAGATGCTAATCGATACGTTACTGGGTGATTGAGCAAGATACACGCGCAGACATAAAGTGCATAATTTCATCTATATAAGAATCTTAAATTTTGATTGAATATTAAATGAGACTTTTGCAAAACCTTGAAGTTTGATTGTTATTCTAACGTATTACTGATAATAATGCCCTGATTTCTTTTGAAAGGGTAACAATAAGAAATTCGAAAAATGAAATATAATGATATAAGCTTCATTTTGTTAGATTACATATTGTATTAACAAAAATATAGTCCATATATGGTTGCCATAGCAATGCATGTTCTGCGGAGCAACTTTGATCTCATTAGATTTTTTAATCTCGTGTTAATATGTTGCATATCAGGCAAATTAATTAATTTAGTACCAAGGATAAATGAATCGAGACGGACACAATCTATACAATCTACAGAGCTAAAAGGGATAGTTTGATTAATTAATAAATGTGCATACTTGTCATGCAATGTTATTTACACAGTAATAAGTAAATTAGGTTTTGAGCTTTTTGAAAACTGAATAACATTATTGTGCATGTACGATATAAAATATTTTCTCACTTTCATGGGGTGTCAGCTGTTATTTCGTAAAATGTGATGAATGACATTATAGTTATCAGACACAACGAAACACTAACAGACATGATCGCCCTTGCAATTGCTCAATTAATCATGTTTTTGCAGTTGTTCAGAGGGCTTTAATAGACAATGACCCCTGTTACACAGGCCAGTTGAAATGCTTCGTTACGAAGCAATTTGACAAAAAGCTTCGTAACGAAGCAATTTTGGGCCAGTGTAACACCTCCGCCTTCGTTAGAAAAGCTTAGTTGATAACGAAGCAATTGAGTAGAAAATTCAACGAAGGTTAGGTCCCAACGAAGCTTTTTTGGCCTGTGTAACAGGTAGCTTCGTTAGAAAATGCTTAGTTGGCGGTTTGCGCATGCGCGTAATAAAGAGCACATTCATCATTTTGCATTAAATGAGAGGAATCGCGAGGAAAGAACATGTTTTTAAGTACGTATTATTATAATGCTTCGTTTTGATTAAAATAATTACCTATTTGCGTCACTGATTGACGCTAACTCAAGCCCTAAACGCCACGTACAAATGTGATTTACCGTCTGTCGTGGCATTTCATTCGATTCCCTGCCTTTCCTCGCATTGATATACAAAAAATTATTAAATCTAAAACACGCAGGTTTTACCGTATATGTATACGGTATTTTTGAAACGTTTATCTGATCTATAAGGGAATAAACCTAGAATATTTAAATGTCCCTCTTTCCGGGAAAACTCCGTCTCATGTGTGGAAGGGTAAACTTTTGAAATTACATGATAAGATATGCTTATTAAATAGAAAGTTGTGGCATACATGTTTAATATTAATTTTTTCTTGCGCCTCGAATATTTATACCTTGAATGTAATTCTAAATGTGTTCACACCATGATACAATTGCTTCCCGGTGAATCATATCAGGGAATTTAGCCGATTTGATTGATTCGAAAATGTCTCTCTTCAGAAATCGTATTCAACTGATTATCGCCCCATTGCAATACTTGTACTAGTCGTTCTATTATTTCGACGATTTTAAAATGTAATTGAATTTAAACTTACCATAGAGAGGCTGCATGTTTTAGGCCAGCCCCAAACACTATTGATGTGTCGTAAGACGATGCGTACAACTGATATTTAAGTTTCTTCCAATTTGCGCCATTTTCGAATTCAACGGACGGCTGATGGATTAACATACTAATTTATGTCAAACTCACTCAAATATGCATGGAATATTGGCGAGACGGGTAATATTCATATTAAAATGAATTGATCATTAAATAGTAGTTAAACCACCAGCCGAACACCGAGATATTTTAGTAATGGCTACACTATTTGAAATATAACTGAGAAGTCCATTTGGAAATTGTATAAACCCCAAATCCAATTCCTCCTAGTAATTAACATAGGCCTATTTTTATTCTATATGTTTCCAAAGGAAATGATAGAAAATGAAAACAATACTTGTAATCGTATTGACAGCTGAAATATATAAAAATCGAAATGATGGGAAAAATGTATGGACATGTGTACGGAATGATCACATTCATCTGGTTTTATTTTCCAGAGAATTTTGAACTAGTCTTTTTCTGTGCTGAATTGTTGAAATAAACATTAAAAATTAGATTTTTGAGTTTGATCAATGGTTTATATCAAAAGAATAAAAATATTAATCATAATAAGTGGGTGGGGCAGATGAGTACTGCGCACGCGCAACGAAGCATTTTAAGTGCAGTGTAACACCAAATAATTGCTTCGTTAGGGTTGGATAAAGCCAGTGTGGACACAATTTTTTCGCTAACCTTCGTTACAAAAATGCTTCGTTAGACTCAACCCAGCAGTGTAACAGGTACCAATGTTATTGATATTGGTGAAAAAACATATACGATTATGGAAATTGAGAACACATGGTACTATTGACCATGCTGCTGTACAATTATGTGTTAATCAGGTATTGCCAGATCCGAGGATTGAGCGATTTTCTAATATTCACCCTACATTGAAACCTTGTATACATTATACATAAGTTAAAAATACCCAGAAAATCTGTGTCAATACACAACTATCCTTGATTGGTGAATATGAAAATGAAGTTAAATTATGTTGAGAGTATGTAATTGCAAATATAAATATGTGGATCACAAGACATAATAGAGAGGTTTCGCAAAACGGTTTTTAGCTCAACGGATCCGTAGCCGTAACGTGTTTACCAGATTTATGCGTGGTCAGTTCATTTTATACATGAAGCGATACGGAGAACACGAAAAATGAGGCTTTCGACGTTGGTCATTTACGTATCCCATTTTATCCTTCGATTATATTGATTTTAGTTCTAATGGCCTAGTCACATAGCCCGGCCGATGAGGTTACGATGAGCCAGCGATGCAATTTTCACCGAACTCGGCCGAACACCGGCCGGACACCGGCCGGACATCCGTGGCGTTTGTTGCTTAAAACCGCATCGGTGGTAGCTCGGTGAAATTTTAACTTCGGAGTTAAATTTCACCGGGCTCTCACCGAGCTCCCTCATCATGTCATCGCAGCCCCATCGTAACCACATCGGAAAACACGTCGGCCGGTGCACGGCCGAGTATCGGCCGGTGTCCCGTGCATCTGAGACAACCAGAGGACGAGTTTTTTTAACGGACAGCGGCCGAGCTCCGACCGAGCTCCGGCCGATGTGGGACAGAGCATCGGCCGGTCACTGTTCAAAGCCCGTTAACAACCCGGCCGGCGATCGCACGGTGTCCTGTTACCTGCTCGGGTACCGGCCGTATTCCTTCCGATGTCCGGCCGACCTCCGGCCGGTAGTTGCTGCCACATCGGCAGAAAAAAACTACCATTTTGAGACAGACTCCGTACGGTCTCCGGCCGGTGTTCGGTCGGTCGCCTGAAGATGTCCGGACGGAGTCCGTTCACGTCACCGAGCTCTGCTCCCGATGAGGAGAGCTCGGTGGCACCAAAAAAATCCACCGAGCTCTACCAATGCCGGACATCGGCCGGGCTATGTGACTAGGCCATAAAAGTATCACTATATGAACAAGCACAGTGTGTTGTGTATAATTTGACTTAACTTTGGTGAATGAATTTGTTTATTGTTTGACATAAATCGAGTTTTTCAAATGGTATGTTCAATTCATTTTACACTGTATGGAATCAAAATCAAAATCCGTAATGCATCGATGGAGTAAAAGTTTACTCAATACGTTTGTCTTACCGACAGCAATACCGAGAGTACGTAAGCTAAAGCTTTCTGTACGTTGTTGTTTCCGTATCAATTTTGACCTTCAAATCTTGATAAATTTCCCCCTAAATGTATAATTTTAGCATGGGCTTTCAACTAGTTGAAAGCCCATGATTTTAGTAACTCACATATTTCATCATGTATATCAAGCTAATTTTGATGAAGTAATAGGCGTATCTGCTATATCTGTCATATTTGCTGATAGGCGGCCGTACGGTCTTTCATTTCTAGTTCAATAGTAATACTGTGTTGTCAATTTCTAAGGGACATCAAACCAATGGTTAGCAGGTAGGCCACCTGGATTTATATTTTGTGCCCAAAGTCACGCTCTGATTTCATATAGAGCAGGGTCTTGGACTTAGTTTGAGTTTAGCAGATTGGTCCTGACCTCAACTATGAATGTGATATTGAGTCTAAAGGTGCCGTCTCGTATCCAGCTTTTGCCAAGAGGGAGCTTTTTGACAATTTTGGCATAAAAAGCTCCCGAAAAGTGCTCAGGATGATCATGAAACTTTAAAACGGGGGAGCTTCTTCCCCTGGTATGACTTGACCAGGGCGACGAGTGCCATAAAGCTTTGTGCCCAAGCTTCCCCGAACACCGTCGGTGATGCTGTGACAGGTAGAGCATATTTAGTTGATCCGAAGATGATGATATCGGCGTGCCATTTCCAATTTTCATTTCTGTAAAGAAAGGCCTTACACAATATATTTTTATTGATTTCTCATACATAACAGGGGAAATGTACTTTTATTGCATAAATGATATATTTGTGTCACTACCTAGGATCAAATATGTTACTTTGTTTCCACCAAGTCGGTATTTTTTACTTATCTGATCTTGAATTATTACCAAAATATACAGCTGCAAAAACATGAAATTAAAGGTCCATGTGCAGTATGGCAAGTGATTTTAGACGGTCATATCTTTCACAATGGGATAGAAATAGAGATAAGCAAGAGGCCGACTTGGGCAAGGCTACGAATGCCTTTCGGTTTGCTGTGTCTAAGAAACTATTTATTGGAACCACTCCATAATAGACATTATGCATATTCTTAAGATGGAATTCTACTTTTGAATGAAATAAAAAGATGCTATATGAGTAAATAGCATAATGCAGTAACTGCACTTCACTTAATGACCACTATTTCAGCCTATCTGTGTTCAAACTCTTAAATTTTCCCCAAAGTATAATTTGACACTAAATTGATTACTGTAAACCGAGAAATAATCTTTTATGGCCTCGGGGATATTCTTCATTTTGAAATTAATTTCAAAATTAATAATTTGACATTTTTTCTATATATAGTTTTAGAAAACACATCACACACTTTTTTTGTTTTTGGTATCATACATGTATGTTCGGAATGAAATGAAACATTTATCCGAACCTCATTGGAACGAGACGAAATAAACACAACGAGTTGAGGTCTCTCAATATTGTTATTGTACAAAGGAAAGTTTGGTTGATTTAAAAAAGGATTTTGTTAATGAAATAAAAGGTTTATCTTAATTTTCATCTTTTTTTCTTTTTTTTAATTTTTGAATACTTATTCTTAAATCAACCAACGTTTCTTTAGTATAACTATAATATTGAGAGGTCTAAGAAAATGTTGTATAAAAATAATCTCATGAAGGCGAGGAGACGAATAGTTAAATTTTATGCAGAATATGGTAGAGAAAAAAAACAGGAACGAGTGAGAGTCGATCAACACCTAGGCAACAGCCAGAATTTTTTTCTAACCACTACACTAAGGGTGATTGGATGAAAGCAGTGTTTTTTAATTCATCGATAAGATATCAAATAAGTATATATTGCAGTACTAATATATACGACATCTATACATTTAAAAATAAAGATAACAGATATGAACAAAATCTAGCCGGACAATCCATTCGTTCACTGCTGTCAACACAGTTATAGTCCGTCAGTATATATAGTCCTGGGTTATTGTTTACCAATAAAGAAAATATGGTCCGGTTAAGACCAAACGTCCCTACTGTGTATGGTCCTGATGAACTTTTTGAACACACGTTTCTCTTCCAGTCATCAAAAAATTCTGAAAATCGTCATCGTCAATCTAATGATCATCTTTTGAATGCTAACAATATAATTTGACATTTTTCTATATATAGTTTTAGAAAACACATCAGACACTTCTTTTGTTCTTGGTATCATACATGTATGTTCGGAATGAAATGAAACATTTATCCGAACTTCATTGGAACAAAACGAAATAAACACAACGTGTTAAGGTCTCTCAATATTGTTATTATACAAAGGAAAGTTTGGTTGATTTAAAAAAAGGATTTTGTTAATGAAATAAAAGGTTTATCTTAATTTTCATCTTTTTGTGTTTTTTTTTTGTTTTAATTTTTGAATACTTATTCTTAAATCAACCAACATTTCCTTAGTATAACTATAATATTGAGAGGTCTAAGAAAATAGTGTCATGAAAACGAGGAAACGAATAGTTAAATTTTATGCAGAATATAGTAGATATGGTAAAAAAAGGAACGAATGGGAGTCGATCCACACCTAGGCAACAGCCAGAAATTTTTTCTAACCACTACACTAAGGGTGATTGGATGGAAGCAGTGTTTTTTAATTCATTGATAAGATATCAAATAAGTATATATTGCAGTACTACTATATACGACATCTATACATTTAAAGATAACAGATATGACCAAAATCTAGCCGGACAATATATTCGTTAACTGCTGTCAACGCAGTTATATTCCGTCAGTATATATAGTCCTGGGTTAATTTGACATTTTTTCTATATATAGTTTTAGAAAACACACCAGACACTTCTTTTGTTCTTGGTATCATACATGTATGTTCGGATTGAAATGAAACATTTATCCGAACCTCATTGGAACAAAACGAAATAAACACAACGTGTTGAGGTCTCTCAATATTGTTATTGTACAAAGGAAAGTTTGGTTGATTTAAAAGAAGGATTTTGTTATAATGAAATAAAAGGTTTATCTTAATTTTCATCTTTTTTGTTTTTTTTGTTTTAATTTTTGAATAATTATCCTTAGTATAACTATAAATGAATAAACACAAGGAGCACACGCGTTTCGAACCTCGCAACCTCGTGGCTACGATCTAACTAAAGGCAGCTGATGTTAACGCTCAAACACACCAGAGGAAGCACAACGGACATTTTCTACACACACACACTGCTCAACTGTCCTTAAGAACCCAGAGCGGGTTAATACCTCTGCAACTGAAAGCTCAGACAGTGATCATAAATGAATAAACACAAGGAGCACACGCGTCTCGAACTCGCAACCTCGTGGCTACGGCACCTATTCGCCTAGTTTGAACGTACCGGCGCTAAAGCCCTCTCGACAACCCCAGAAAGAGTTGTTTTGTTAGTCGATCTAACTAGAGGCAGCTGGTGTTAACGCTCTAACACACCAGAGGAAGCACAACGGACATTTTTTACAATATAATATAATATTGAGAGGTCTAGGAAAATGTTGTATATGCTATTTTGTTCCAACTAGGTTAGGAAAGATAGTTTATTTCATTCTAAAGAATTGGTAGAAAGGGGCAAAAACTATTGCACAAAAAACAAAATATGCTAACAAAAACAGTTATGTAATATATTATATATATGTATATTTATATATGTATATGCATAAATTGTTGTCAATCGGTCAACATTATACAAAGGGGCGTGTTTTTAACAGAATGTTTTTAATAATTGATTTAAGAGAAACACATTGTTGAATCCAGTTCACCATATCGACACCAATCCTTTCATCTTGTTTCCTACCGATTAAATTCACCATATTTTATAAGATGTTTATTACTTATGTTATAAAATAATTCGTAGGGACTGTTAGAAATAAGTGAATTCTTTGGACTTATATTTTGTATGATGTTCAATTAGTGATATCATGTTTGCTGAAAAATACATATTGTTGCAAATGCACAATTTTATGTTTGTCCTCTAGCTATAGATTTATCGGAAATAAACTCATTGTCATAATTAAATTTAATACACTTTTTCAAGCTTATCACTTTTTTTTAGATAGAACTAGGTCATGTGACCCACAAATTGTCAGAGGCTACCATCGGTGCTGAACGGAAGTATAGTATTTTAAGATAATTCTAAATAAAGTAAATCATTACAAATTGATAACATTATTTTGTAGTCATGGGCCGACATTATAAGGGTACCAGATATTTTCAAGTTGGCGGCTATGATTGCTCTTTTTGTCATTATGGATACTTGCCAGTCAAAAACAAAACGGTACTTTTGGTGTACCTACATCCTCTCCTAATGTCCCTAAATATTGTTGGCAAATCAGATAGAATGAATAGCCCAACTGAAATAATAATGATCATACAGGGAGGCACACCAACAACCGCTGCATATTTTGCTTCGACTGGCACATGCTCTTTTTTCTTAGGAGGTTTATACACTTCAGACTCGAGCTTTGCTTTTATAATTTCGTTTATAAATAGTGGACGATGTTTGGGTGAGGTGGTTGTAGTTACTTCATTTTGTGTAGTTTGTTTGGTAGTAAGTGCAGTAGTCACATCACTCTTTGCAGTTGTTTTGGTAGTAAGATCCGTTGTCCCTTCATTTTGTGTAGTTGATAGGGTGGTAGGCACAGTAGTCACGACATTTTGTGTAGTTGGTTGGGTCGTGGGCTCAGTAGTTACTTCATTTTGTGTAGTTGGTTGGGTAGTAGGCTCTGTAGTTCCTTCATTTTGTGTAGTTGGCTGGGTGGTAAGCACAGTTGTCATTTCATTTTGTGTAGTCGTTTGGGTAGTAGGCTCTGTAGTCGCATCATTTTGTGTAGTTGGCTGGGTGGTAAGCACAGTTGTCATTTCATTTTGTGTAGTCGTTTGGGTAGTAGGCTCAGTAGTTCCTTCTTTTTGTGTAGTTGGTTGGGTAGTAGGTACAGTAGTCACAACATTTTGTGTAGTTAGTTGGGTTGTAGGGTCTGAAATTACATCAGTCAACGGTGTTGATTTTGCGGTAAGGATTTAACATGTCATTAACAATTTAATCATTCATGACCTCCTAACATTGATATTTCGACAAGTGTACTGAATACTCAATTTACTCAGATACCATTTGTATCTTAGGCTTAATGAAAGGAAGTAGATCTGAGAGTATGCTACCCAATGCATGCATGTCTTTAAAATGATGCAAAAGAATAATATATAAAAAGTATTATAGTCAATGGTCCCATTACAAGTTTAAATCACATGTAGTCTGAATAAATGGACCAGGTGCAGTAGGACATGATAAATCATTCGTTTAAACCTAGAAAAGCCATCTTTGATTTTATTTGAAAGTTTATACATTAGTTGTTTGAAAAATAGTATAACATATGGTCCATAGAGAAATAACGCAAAGAAAAGAAAAAACATTGGCTATGTATATCTATAAAAAATATCATCTCTCTTGTAAAAAGTGTTCACTACTTTAATAATATTGATATCATTCTTTTAATCCATATATCCATCCCCATATTAAAATGTTTCTTGTGGATGATTACTTTATATATTTTACAATGTATGAGATGAATATGGGAACATGACTCAATATACCGAGGATGATTTAATCCACCTTTGGTATCCTAGCCTTTGAATTCAGACTATCACCTTCACTCACAGCATCATTACATTTACAAATCATTCTTCAATAATCAACAATTCATTTAGCCATTAGTTTTAATTATACATCAATAGTAAATCGAAAGTTACCTGTAAGAGACCTCTCGGCATAGTCATATGAAGAAACTCCGCATGGGTTGCTTATCGACTGGGTCCCTGAGTGTTCTGTTGAAAGAATACACTTTTCGTTGGACTCGCTGTATTCGACTGAGCGGCATATAAATGTTGTCTGTATTTCACACTTCCTTTTGCATCTTGCCAAAGATTCGATATCTTCTATTATTTTATTGTTGAATCCTGGCAGGCATGCACCCGATATAACCACCCAACTTGATGAGGCATCTACAAATTATAAATAAAATATATAACTTTATATAAAATATATAACTTTATTCCATAGTTAGCATGATATTCATAGGATAACATGTGAAAATAAAAACGGTATTTTTGTAATCGGTGGTAAAATATTATATTTTTGACAAATTTTCACTTAACCATAGCATACGGTATTTTAACCATGACATACGGCGCCGTATGCGATGGTTTATGGATTTTTGCTACTTCAGACTCAAAACGAGGCTAAGTGTCAACATCGCCGGATCGTTTGGAAAATTCGAATTAAATGACTTAATTTCCGACGATTCTGATGATGACTTTAACTATGGAATAAAAAGAACATCCTATGATTTACTCGTGATATGATTTTAATCCACTCATGGTTATTGATATCTGCACTCTCTCGCTACGCTCGCTCGTGCAGATATCATATCCATTCGTTGATAAAAATCATATCACTCATAAATCATAGGATATCCTCTATTTATTCCATAATACTACTGTTTTCCCTGGGAAATAAAATCATATCATCCCTCTTAAAATCATATATACTCAAAAATCATATTGTCCCTGTAAAAAAAATAATATATACTCGAAAAATCATATTGTCCCTGGAAAAAAATCATATTGTCCCTATTTTTTTCAAAAAAAAATCATTTTTTTCAAAAAAATTTGATTTTTCCAATTTTCTCCAATTTTCGAAAAAAAAATTCAGAAATTTTCATTTTGCAATTTTTCAAAGATTTTCATTTATTTAAAAAATTTCAATTTTGAATCGGTTTTTCATTTTTTCCAAAAAATTTCAATTTTCTTGAAATATCTTCTTCCTTGAATTCTCAAAAATTAAATTATGGAATAAAAAGGTTATTTCATGCTTGAATTTCAATATGAATTTTATTCCAGGGTAATATGATATTGACCGAGGGAATCATATTGTCCCTGGAAAAAAAATTCAGAAATTTTCATTTTTTTCAAAAAATTTCAATTTTTCAAAGATTTTAATTTATTTAAAAAAATTGCAATTTTGAATCAGTTTTTCATTTTTATTAAAAAATTTCAATTTTCTTGAAATATCTTTTTCCTTGAATTCTCAAAAATTAAATTATGGAATAAAAAGGTTATTATGTCATCACCAAAAGTGGTGACATATTGTTATGGTCTCCGTTTTTTTGCGACGGCGGTTGGAGGTTGGCGTCCGGCGTCTGTAACAATTTCTTACAACTTCCTATAACTTAACAAATACTGTTTAGACTGACTTCAATTTTTTTCTAAATCATCTCCATGTTCTCAGAAGTTCAAATCTGACTTTAGATTTGACATTTGACCTTCAATGACCTTCTCAAGGTCAAAAAGGTCTTTTTTCAACTTGCTTCACATTGACTAAATTTTTTTTCAAAATCATCTACATGTTCTCAGAAATTCAAATCTGACTTTAGATTTTACATTTGACCTTCAATGACCTTCTCAATGTCAAAAAGGTATTTTTTCATCTTGCTTCAAATTGACTTTAGATTTGACTTTAGATTTGACATTTGACCTTCAAATCTGACTTTAGATTTGACATTTGACCTTCAATGACCTTCTCAAGGTCAAAAAAGGTCAAAAAGGTCTGTTTTCAACTTGCTTCAAATTGACTAATTTTTTTTTTAAAAATCATCTACGTGTTCTCAGAAATTCAAATCTGACTTAAGATTTGACTTAAGATTTGACATTTGACCTTCAATGACCTTCTCAAGGTCAAAAAAGGTCTGTTTTCAACTTGCTTCAAATTGACTAAAAAAAATGTTCAAAATCATCTACGTGTTCTCAGGAATTCAAATCTGACTTTAGATTTGACTTAAGATTTGACATTTGACCTTCAATGACCTTCTCAAAGTCAAAAAAGGTCAAAAAGGTCTTTTTTCAACTTGCTTCAAATTGACTAAAAAAGTTTTTCAAAATCATCTACATGTTCTCAGAAATTCAAATCTGACTTTAGATTTTACATTTGACCTTCAATGACCTTCTCAATGTCAAAAAGGTATTTTTTCATCTTGCTTCAAATTGACTAATTTTTTTTTTCAAAATCATCTACATGTTCTCAGAAATTCAAATATGACTTTAGATTTGACTTTAGATTTGACATTTGACCTTCAATGACCTTCTCAAGGTAAAAAAAGGTCAAAAAGGTTTTTTTTCAACTTGCTTCAAATTGACTAATTTTTTTTTCAAAATCATCTACATGTTCTTAGAAATTCAAATCTGACTTTAGATTTGACATTTGACCTTTAAGGTCAAAAAGGTCTGTTTTCAACTTGCTTCAAATTGACCAAATTTTTTTTTCAAAATCATCTACATCTTTTCAGAAGTTCAAATTTGACTTTAGATTTGACCTTTGACCTTCAATGACCTTCTCAAGGTCAAAAAGGTCTTTTTTCAACTTGCTTCAAATTGACTATTTTTTTTTCAAAATCATCTACATGTTCTCAGAAGTTCAAATCTGACTTTAGATTTGATATTTGACCTTCAATGACCTTTTCAAGGTCAAAAAGGTCTTTTTTCAACTTGCTTCAAATTTACTTAATTTTTTTTTCAAAATCATCTACATGTTCTCAGAAGTTCATATCTGACTTTACATTTGACCTTCAATGACCTTCTCAATGTCAAAAAAAGTCAAAGAAGTATTTTTTCAACTTGCTTCAAATTGACGATTTTTTTTCAAAATCATCTACATGTTCTAAGAAGTTCAAATCAAACCTTCTTAAGGTCAAAAGGTATTTTCCAACTTGCTTTAAATTGACCAAATTGTTTTAGGTGGTGACATTTTGTCATGTTAATGCCTTGTTTCATGCTTGATTCTCAATATGAATTTTATTCCACGGGAAATATGACATTGACCTCGGTAAATATTATATTGACACACTCGCTACGCTCGTTCGGTCAATATCATATTTCCCTCGGTCAATATCATATTACCCTGGAATAAAATTAATATTGAAAATCAAGCATGAAATAACCTATATGTATTATTTACATAATATGCATTCTATTCAAATATGACGACCAATATACATTAACGTTATGAGGTAAAATGGCATTTTAAATATGAACTAGCAATCTACCCGTTCGATTTGGTAAACAAAGATAAAAAAAATGCCCGCTATATAATTGCATTGAATCTCCGAATACCAAATATTTACCGTTGGCCGTGAATGAAGTTGACCCATAAAGTTGACCTTGACCTTAGGTCACCTAATCAGTGGTCATTAAGGGTCACAGCACAGATCAAGGGTACCTAGATATTGATATTTTACCTTGGAATGATCTTGGCATCTGACCTTCGTAGAATGCCAACCGACCCATTTTTTAAATATACATACAAGTCAATTCAAAGCAAAAGGTTTTAAATGCAGTCATTACCTCATATCAAGGCAGCGGTCTTCATTACTTCATAGACCTGTTACATGTCCTTAATTTCAACTGAACATTCATATTTTCGAAACATGCTGCTATATTTTAACAAATATGAGACAAAATGGTAAATTGTCTATTTGGGTCACTCATATTAAGGATATATAGTTTACTAATATTATTAAGAAAATAAAATAACTAAAGGGTTGTTCCTTGAATATTTTGTATGTCAGAATTTTACTCTAGTTTTCAAATATATAAAAGGGTTCTGATAATATCGAAAATTAAAAAAGTTATAGGAGAATAAGTTACTCTTGAACATTTCTATCCGGGTTACTATAGTTTCAGTCTTTCCTTTTTATGGTAATTCTAAAAAAGTTTACCCGTGGAAAGCGAAAACATAATTAGATAAAAATGTAAGTTCCGATTGCCGATAAAGTTTACCCGTGGAAAGCGAAAATTTGTTATTAATTAGATAAAGAATGTAAGTTCCGAAATAGTTTCTTAAACTTTCAGACTCTTGTTGCGTCTAAACAATTTGGGAATTGGGAATTTTAAGATGACTGATCTTTTCGAAAAAATGAATTAAGTTTTGAAAAATAGCATTTTCAAGTTTTAACTTTAATTCAAGATTTTTGAAAAATGACAAACTGCTAATAAAATACAGGGGCAAGGTGAATACTATAAGTTATTCAATGATTCGAGTGAAATACAGAAAATATTCTTCCCGAGAAGGTTGTATTTCACGATGCGCTAGCAGAGTGAAATACAGACGTTCAAGGGAAGAATATTTTCTGTATTTCACAAGAAATCATTGAATAACGATTTTATTCCATGATTACCCATATAAAACTCGCCTAAATCAAGTCCGTTGGCTCGGGGCCGGAGAAACAGATCAACCTTCTCACCTCAGAGATTTTTAATCGATATTCCTTCAAAATCTTTATGGCCTTGTTGTTTGCTTTTTGTTTGCGTGTTTTATCTTAAAATTATTGATTGTGGTGATCACAGTATACGTTTCTGATATTTGAATCGGATATTTATAGCAAAATTCAAAGATAAGCATGCGTTGGTGTAAAGTAATCGCCATTGATTTTTTTCAGTAACAGTCATATCCTGGATGGAAATCTGGGGCGTTGGGATACTGGACCGTATCCCAACGCTGACGTCATTGACACCGGAAAGTGCGTGTAAATACAGAATATATTTAAGTCACGTGGACCAATCAGATTGCAGGGAATTTCACCATCATGGAATAAAATTCATTATTGGAACCACCGGGTGAATGCGAATTCAATACGGGATTTTTCAACATAAATTATATTCCATGCTGGTGTTATTCAGCGGGAAATAATAGTATCATGATGTTAAAGGCAGAATCAGATCTACAGGGGGGTGACAAAATTACAAGCAACTTGTATAATTGACCTACCAATCTATTCAAATACAATATCTCCCAAAAGATTCACAATATGTTATAAATTGGTGAAGTTATTAATGATTCAAACCACAAAAATGCGTGACAAATGTTTAAATTCTCCCAAATAATAAGAATGGTAACCATTCTTATAAAAAAATTTATACATTATTGTGAAAATCTTTAGTTTTCCTTGAATAAAGTAATAGCATTTTTGTATTTTTTAGAAAATAGACATGACAAGGAATGAAATGAGCTAAAAATATTATAAAATTGAAGCAATTTTGTTTAGACTGCTCACTATATCAGATTCTCTCTTTAACTTTGATAAACATTTATATTTGTAGTTTCACAGACACCCCAGAACTTTCAACTAGTTTATACTTCATTAAAGGTAATATTGAAAGATTTCAATGCAAATTGCGATCTGCTAATGCGACTTCAAAATCGCCTGTTCGGTGCGAAACAAACCCGTCAATTGCGAAATGTTTTCTCATTTTACATAAAATCAATTTTCATTTTGAAAATGAACTGATGATAAAATACGATTACGAAATACTGTTTTTTAAGGATTGGTATCAATATGGTGGACTGAATTCAATTTTTTTTTCTTTTTAACCAATTATTAAAAAACATTCTGTATAAAAAGACGGTCCTTTATGTAATTTTGACTGATTGACGACAATTTAATGCGAAAATTATTTTATATAACTGTTTTTGTTAACACTTCTTTAGTGCAATTGTTTTTTGTTCCTTTTTACCAATTCTTGAGAATGAAATGAAATATCTTTCCAAAGCGTGTTGGAACAAAATAGTTTATACAACATTTTCTTAGACCTCTCAATATTATAGTTATACAAAGGAAATTTTGGTTGATTTAACAAAGAGTATTTAAAAAAAATATATATATAAAAATTAATAAATTAATAAAAAAATTAATAAAAATACTTTTTTAAATCAACCAAACTTTCTTTTGTACAATTAGAATATTGAGAGACCTAAACGCGTTGTCTTTATGTCATTTTGTTCCAATGAGGTTCGGATTTCATTCAGAACATATGATACCAAGAACAAAAGAAGTGTCTGATTTGTTTTGTTAAACAATATTGAGAGAAGTTTATATATTAATTAAAAATTATATTGTTATCTAAAACTGAGCATTAAATTGACGATGTGTAAAATTTTCAGAATTTTTTGATGACTGGTTTAAGAGAAACGTGTGTTCAAAAAGTTCACCATATCGATACCCATCTTTGGAAATTGGAGATATCTTCAAATTGGAAAACAAGGAATGTATTTTTTTTTTAATTTGATATTTGCCCCAAGTGGTTGCGACTATTTTGACCATACATACCTTTTGTCAGTTGAATCAATACTACCAGCACAATGAATTTGGATGCCTTCATTTTACTAGTGTCAAACTGATCTTAGAAAAATCGTATGTATAAAATCTCATAAAATGTCTGTAAAATCCTCACGGACTATAACTGGTATCCTATAGCAGCTGCCAATACGTTGATGAGCGGATGATGAGATTTATTGTGCACCAATGCAGCTGTTTACCGAAAATATATAATCCATCATTTGGAGCACATCTAATAAAGTCAACTTCGGTCATCTATCCAAGTTCGGTGGATCTTTACACTATAAGATGGTCACGATTAGATGTAAAGTGTTACAAGTCAAGTTTAAGTTGTCCAAATATATATATATACAAAACACATAACAAAATCGGTCGTTCACATCTGGATTCGTATACTCTGATCTCCATATATTTGATTGGTCTATATCATTAAACAGTATATATAAATTTGACTACAAATATTGGGAAGTGATAGCGACCTTTGTTTTTTTATCAGACGCCCAAATTAGATCAATGAATGTTAACAATCGAATGTTAATTGAGCGATCTAGGCTTATATATTCTATATTGGAAAATTTGTGAGCCTGAAACAAAAAATATATATTTCTAAACTATTCTCGGGAACTGGGTAGGCCGTTCACCAAAGCATCAATAAATATCGATAAAACTCGATTGCAGGATCAATTGTAAAATATCGATAAAACGCAGAATACAAAAGTAAGTAATTGCATTAAGGTTAGGGCCATAACACACCTTTTTGTTATTCAATTCATTTAAACAAAATAAGCTCTTCAATCGCTCTTTAACATTTGGAAGAATATACAGGTGAGGTAACATGAAAAGAACGCGTTACAAATGTGCAGTAGGGTGTTGGTCAGGCATGTGATCCTTAAGTCTTGGTTGTTATCAGGTCTGGAAGTCGGGTCAGTCACCGTTAAGATATGAACTAAATTATTGCTGTAAGTTGCGACAGCGGTCGTATTGATTGAGTTCTGATCCTTGTATATGTAACATCTTCAAATAAAAATGCCTAAATTACAATACACAATATAGCAAATGGACAGTTTGATGCTAAAATTGGGTCAAATTAACATTTGGAAATTTTCATGATATACATGTATACATACCTTTTTGTTTTCAAGTTTGCACTTGACAATCGTGCCGAATAGTCTATAAGTTGTGGAGTGGATCAATTTATCGTATTTTATATTATTGTTTTCATTCTGAATCATTTTATCGTATAATCTGTAAAATGAAGCCCTCTGATTGGTCAGTTCTTGTGCTTTACCAATCTACTTGACTTCGTTTCGTTTCAATACGGAATTTCTCGAGCAGTATATCCTGTATTGCACTTCAAATCATTCAATAACTTATAGTCTTGAGACATTCTATGCAATATACATAATATATCTTCGCATATTTTATATTACATTTGCCAAATATTTGCTTGGTTGCAGCGTTTGTTGATTCTTCTGGTCGTAAGAGTCCGTAGACGGAGTGACCCTAATTGCCATTTTGGTTATGAGGTACTATATTGTTCAGTGTGTGTTTCTTGTTGAATTGTTTATGCTAAAACAAGCCATAGATTAATCCATCTCTATCTTTTCAGGCTGATGAACAATTCCTGATCATTCAAAAGATGCGGGCTTTTTAGTAATTTTATAAAACGTCCACTTTTCAAGCTGAACAGGACAAGGTATTTTGGGTTTGTAAAAATGTGCCTTTCAAGCCAGATTGTTCGGGATACTAGTAGGGAAAATGTCGATAAATAACAATTATACGAATTACGTGTTCTTTTTCTCTATTTACAAAAGTGTATTTACAATATGGAGTAAATGTACATAAATAACTTACCTTAGAGTATATGTAAAGTAACTTACTGGATTTATTCGCAATTGTTATGCAGTATTGTTTTAACAATAAATAAGTGTTGAGGTTAAAGGGGCAACGAAGTCTGTAGAGAGAAAATTCAAAATTGTTTACTTCTTCTGAGGTATCAGGGCAACATTTGGCTAAACACCTTGTTTGACATAAGTAGAACATAAGAAGTACCTATTTTCTTAAAATGTATGGATAAACTTCCAATTTCAATTAAGAAGTGTAAATTCAGTTCAAAGCTTCTATAAAGGGAGTCCCACTTATAGATTTTTAAGATCTATCACGTGTCAAGAGGAATATCAGCCGAAATGATGTTCATCCAGGGGGTTTCTTTATAGATCATAAAAATATATATTAGTCTTGATGAAATATCCAAACTTAAAAAATACTTTGACACTGGTCATTGATCATTTATTGGCCATTCTGCACTAATTGTTGCACCTTTAACTAAAATCGATGTATGTACAAACCCAATCCCAACATCGTTTTGCAGCACTACAGCTATGTACAGTACCGTTTGAGATTGGCAGAGTACGAATTTCAAGGGATGGCACGCGCTATTTCATACGTCGAATAAGATGCAGAGGACGCCATATGTACACATTCTGAGTGCCAAAGGGAAATGACAAAATTGTTAGAACCCAGTAAGAAAAAGATCTAACTGAGGCTCAAAGGGAAATTCAATTTGATCTTGATAAGTTGTCTGAATCGTCCGATTTGTGGAAGTTGAAATTCAAAGCATTTAAAAGTAAAGAATTGATATACTAGTATAGGGGTACATGTCGTTTCAAGAGGCAGTTTCAGCCAGTTACCATGAATGGTGAAACTATAGCAAGACAATATTCACACTGCCACCTGGGTGTAATTTTAGATGATGTTCTGACTTTCACCGAACACATTACCCAACTCCGTACCAAAATAGACAAGATGATAAATCCACTTAATTGTCTAAAATATAAGATTGCAACAAACACATTGAAACTATGTGTATGTCCTTTATTTTACCCCATTTAGAATACGGCTCAATTTTATTTGATGCGGCTCCAAAACACGAACTGTTGAAATTGGACAGGCTTCAGTACAAGGCAGCCTTAATTGTTAGCAGATGTACCAAGGGAACAAATACAAACAAAGTTCTGAGAATTCTAAACTGGGCTCCATTATCGGAAAAAAGAAAACAAAATTTTTTTATTATTGCATGATGTTTATTATGAAAATGCCCCTCCATACATTTCTAATATTTTCAATACGTACCGAAACAAGAGGCCAACTTGAGCCTTAAGAAAAAGGCCCCATTTTATTGTACCCGCGAAACAATCTGAAAAAACTAGACGCGGTACTGTAGTTTTTTCTATTTCTGAATGGGAGAGGGACACATTACCTGTTCAACTCAAACCCATTCCAATAAAGCGCACTTTTAAATATCATCTTAAAAAACATTTATTTCCAAAGAAGACCCAAATTGACACAAACCACTTGAATTTAGACAGGCAAGCTGAAATAGTGCTTAATAAAACCAGATGTGATTTCATTTTTCGTTACCACTAGTTCCAGCATCAATTCTATAATGTTAATCCTCAATGCTTGTGCAGTTTTCGATCTCAGACAACCCAACACCTATTCTTTTCTTGCCCCCTATTACTTGATCTCAGGGAACAACTAGCACTCAACCTTGCAGGGATACCCAATTTCAACATTCACCATTATAACAAACTAAATGCAAAAGAGAAACTAAATACATTGTTATATGGTGGCTCAACATATAAAATTGAAACTAACAAGCTTCTCACTTTATTTCTTTAATTGTAGACTAGCTATGTTTAAATTTTTTTTGTAACTCACATGTATTGTCATGCTGAGTGTTTCAGCAGCCTAAAATTACTTGGTTTTTATGTGCCCACTTAACTCTATTTTAGAACTTTTATAAATGTGTATGTATGAAAATCGACATGGGCCACTAATGTCAATGGCCTCGACCCATTGTCGGATATTGTGAAATGATAGCATTGATAAATAAAACATAACCTTAAAAAAGAAAATATCTAAGTGCACACCTGTTATAAGGAAACATAAGAAGCATTTGTTTAACCCCCCCCCCCCCCCTCCTGAGCATCCAAGTTCCATTATATTCACAATATACCAGGACCATAACACCAAGATACATTTCATTCATACAAAAACCATACAATATGTTGAATAAGAAATATAAATTGATAAACCATTACTCAGTACATCAAAAATAATGGTAGATACTAATTTCCATACACGACAAGGCATTCAGTTTCAAATGATGTGGGACAGACAATAATGTAGCCTTGCCCAAGTCGGTCTATTTTACTTATATTGATTTCTATTATGACCTCCTTGTACCAAAAAGAAAGCCACGTGCTTAACCGACTCAATGTTTATATCGGTAAATAAGGATATAATCTTTATGTGTCTGATAATAAATAAGTATACGGAAATATGTCCAGTAAAAGAAAAATAATATTTGTGAAAGGAGATTTTACTTTTTGGGATGTTGTGACTTTGGGTCTATAAGAAGATTAAATTTTCAAAATTGGTAAATACTTTTTTTAACCAAATTTCTTGATGCAATTTTACATGTAGACTTCAAATATGATATCCCTTTAACTAAAGTTTTGAATATTTAATGAAGTAAATCAAGATTATTCTACTCGCATCTAGATAGTATGTTGCTAAATCAACAATGTTTGGTTGGAAGGTAGTTCTGATCTGACATCCAAGTTAGTCAGAACCGTGTTACTACATGTACTTCCTAAAAGTATCTCGACATAAAATACTTTTGAAAGATCAAAAATCACGAGAGGGTACAAACGGCAAATAATCTCATATTGACAGAGGGTAATCTGAATAACAAGTGGTAATTGGGGAAGGATCCTGTGGGATACAAAACTACAAGGCTGGCATCTATTGAAAGTGACTTTAATATTATAACAATTTTCATTTTATTGTTGTCTGTGTGATGGAATGCATTGGGATCTCGTTATCATTTGTTGTAAAAATGAGGAAAAAACAACTATTTTTTTTACCTCAGGTGTTTTGTTTTAGTGTACTGAATTAAGTACCTTTTTTGCAAAAAATACCTTCCTTTCGGTGTGTAATTAATGGATAACTCCACTTTGCTCTGAGTTATTGCGATGGCTTTGTGGATGAGTTTTGACCCATTGATACGCGTATAGACTTTGACATTGGATCTTGTCTGTCCCGAATCATTTGAGACTGAATGGTTTATCTTGCATGACTATCAGTATTAACAACAATAACTGATGCTAAGAGTATTGGCTATGGATTTTAAATCTATTCTACAACCTGTATTGTAATGATGCGTGATGGTCTCGGATTGTAATATTGGTACTTGGATGGTTTGGGGTGGAGTATTAGACGCTGTTTCTTTTCGCATTGGTTAACAGGAACAGCTGGGGGGTTATTTCCTAATGACTTGTGTACTCAGTGATGTTTTTCTTTTTATTGCTGTTGTCTCAAGTTTTGTTGAAGATGTATTGTTTGTAACACGTTTACTTGGCCAGAGACTATGAGATGCTTTTCTGATATCTCCAAGGTTGTGCCATGATCAACTATGCCTGTCCTTGCGGATACCTACCAGTCAAAAACAGAACAGAACTTTTGGTGTACCTACAACCTCTCCTAATGTCCCTAAATATTGTGGGCAAATCAGATAGAACAAATAGCACAACGGAAATAATAATGATCATACAGGGAGGCACACCAACAACCGCTGCATATTTTGCTTCGACTGGTACAAGCTCTTTCTTCTTAGGAGGTTTATACACTTCGGACTCGAGTTTTGCTTTTATGATTTCGTTGATAAATAATGGGCGGTTCTTAGGTGCAACAAAGATATCTTGTGTAGTTGGTTGGGTAGTTGGCTCGGTAGTCACATCATTTTTTGTAGTTTGTTGGGTAGTAGGCTCGGTAGTCGCATCATTTTGTGTAGTTGGTTTGGTAGTAGGCTCGGTAGTCGCATCATTTTGTGTAGTTGGTTGGGTAGTAGGCTGAGTAGTCACAACATTTTGTGTAGATGGTTGAGTAGTAGGCTCGGTAGTCGCATCATTTTGTGTAGTTGGTTGGGTTGTAGGCTCGGTAGTCGCATCATTTTGTGTAGTTGGTTGGGTTGTAGGCTCGGTAGTCGCATCATGTTGTGTAGTTGGTTGGGTAGTGTGCTCAGTAGTTACATCATTTTGTGTAGTGGGGGGCGTAGCAGGGTCTGAAATCAGTTAATGATGTTTTTTATAATGACTTTACATGCCATAAAATATTCCATCTTAAGTATGACTATATGTTTTTATCATTCATTCGTTAACTATTTTTCACGAATTCAAAGTTATTTCAGTTTTTTTAAAGATTCTTTGTCTTTGTTTTAATTATCAAATATTCCTCTGAACAATGCATAACACATTATTAACACAAAGATCGGATATGCCTTTTAATAGTAAAATGTAACAATAATATTTAACATGCCACTTTAAAGGTGCAACAATAAGTGCAGAGGGGTCATTCAATGATTATCGACCAGTGTCAAAATATATTTAAGTTTAGATATTTCATCAATACTAACACATATTTTCATTATCTACAAAGAAACCCCCCGGATGGACATTATTTCAGCTGATATTCCTTTTGAAATGTGGTGAATCTTAAAAATCTATAAGTATCTAAATAATAATATTTGTAGAAGCTTTGAACTGAACTTACACTTCGTAATGCTGAAATTAATAGTTTTTATGACTCCGTAACAATAAATCATGCAAACATGATACAAAATGTGTTGGTGTATTTCGAGCTATCCTGTGGCCTGTATAAAATTCTTTTTATTTATAGTAAAAATGATATTACATAATATTATACAATAACAATACTATTACATCACAATATTAACATAGGCAAATAATGTTTTTTGGCTGATAAGAGCCACAGAGACACATATAATAGATGTGTGTCGTAGGCCAAAAAGTTATACATACATTTTAAGAAAATGGGTATGTCAAAGAAAGTGTTAAGCCAAATATTGACCTGATAGCTTAGAATAACTAAAAATTTTCGAATTTTCTCTCTACAGTCCTTGTTGCCCTTTAATGTTTCAGCATATGGAAAATGCATCCTTAATAACATGTTATTTAGGATGCACTATATTTTGAAAAAATGAAAAAGTGTCCATGTCAGTCTTTACTAAATACGATAAGCTTTCAAAACAGACCATTGTTGATTGTCTAACGAGGTTGAAAAGAAGAGTATATCATGTCTTAAATATTGATGTAGGATTGGTTTCTATGAGAACTAAAGTTCTAAAATGCATTTTTCTCTGAACCACTTTCATGCATGGATGATTTTATTTTTGCTTATTTATCAACATTTTTTGCACACAGAAGATGAGAACTTTTAACTGGTGTAAATCTCTATAATTTAGTTTTAAATAGATTCACAACTTTCCAACAAAAAGTCCTTTAAAAGCTACAAGCACATTTTGAAATTAAATAAAAAGTTTCACATATCACATTTTGATGACAATGGGTAAGATTAAAATATAAGCAAACACATGCAAACTGTAAGTGTAAACCTGTCATATGAAAAATATAACCTATACACCCCAAAACCATGATCCAACGCAGAATCAAAATGCCTAACACCCCCTTCCCCCTCCAAACCAAATGAATATCACAATCGAGAACCAGAACACCAGGGGACATTTCATGAATACTGAAGTCATCGCAATACATGTTGAAGAAAAGCTTGAAAAAATTATAACCAATACTCATTAGAGTATACTATAGTACTCCTAGATAAATTGACAAAGTATATATTTAGTTTTATATGTTATGTGATGGACGAAATCCAGTCTCGAAGTCCATACAGATAGGAATTCAAATGGCAAGCATCATATTTGCTCCGATATCATCGGCCGGCGCCCTGCGGATTCAGTATTTTCTTCAAAATTAAGGTCAAATCTCAAATTTTAGGTCAGATGTGAACTCCTGAAAACGTGTATATGATATAAAAAATATTTAGTCAATTTGAAGCAAGTTGAAATCATTTTTGAACAAAATACTCCAATAATTGCATAATAATAATCTGTCGATGAATCGGAGCAAATGTGACCCAGCCATCATTAGGAACTTTATCAATTCCATCGTTCTTGATTTGCAAACATGAGTATTTCGACAACAGTATTTAAAACTCGATTTATTCAGATACCATGTAAAATAAATATTTCTTTTTGTGATATTCTACAATATATTTGAAATTAAAGCACATGCCTCAATGAATTGAGGATGTTGTGAATTCTGACTTTCGCCCCCATTCATAGTACATGTATATTCATACAAGTCATTCGTGATTAAAACCATCAACAATTCATTGTGCTCTGAGTTTAAATCCTTTATCGTTTATCTAGAAATTGAATGTAACACCCCAGTCACATTTGTCGCACGGCGGCCGCAAGTCGACCGCAGATCAATTAAATCGGTGAATTTCTGCGGCGAGCGTAAAAAAACTACGCTCGTCTTGCGACCTCCGTACGGCGAATGCAGATTTTTACAGGCCGAAGGGAAGGCGTAGAAATTATAACTCGGAGTAATAATATTTGTTCATTTCTGAGTTCCCCATAGAAATCAACTGGCTCAACAAGATTGAATCATTATTTGTCAATGTTTCACGATCACTTTTCATTTGATATTACATCCTAGCACTATGAATAACATTTATAAATTGTCTTGATGTAAATAAAATGAAAAAAGTATTATTTATCAACAAAAATTTAAAATTCACCGTGCGGCTGCCGTGGGAAATGTGACTGCAAAAGTATGAGAGCGCAGAAATTCCACGGCGAGCGTAGAAATGTTACTGGCCGCAGAAATGATAGACCGCAAGGTCGCCGTAGGAAATGTGACTGGGGTGTTACCTGTAAGAGATCTCTCGGCATAGTACACAGTATCTGAAGATTTGCATGGTGAGCTTATCGATTGTGTCCCAGAGTATTCCTCCGAGAAAAAACAATCCTCCTCCGATGGATTGAAATCAACTGACCGGCATACAACATCCTCCGATCACAGGGCTTCAAAATCCAGAATATCTTCTTTCTTTTTACCCCCTGCTATAACCAAGTTGGACGCGCCCGATTAAACTAAATCACGTGATCTTATTATGCGCCGATGACGTATACATGATTTCTGTCGCAGTGTTGTGACAGCCAATCAAATTGCGAGTTCTTAATCGGGAAAATGCTAACTGCTTATAGCAGGGGGAAGAAGGAGGTACGGATTCTGGACACCTGCTTAGGAGGATGGCATACAAATGCTGTCTCCGATTCACACTTCCTTTTGCATCTTTTCATAGTTTCGATATCCTCTATTTGTTTGTTGTTGTATCCTGATATACATGCATCTGGCGTATCCACCCAACTCGATGAGGTACCTACACGTAATAAATAAAAAATATTACTTACACATATGCATTCTATTAAAGAAGTCGATCTATATACAATTTATAAACATACTAAATGCGTCTCAGCCAATCAGCTTAGAGCATATCGATGCATTAATGTATTGGTATATGCAGGAAAATGATTTTGAAGTGCATGGTGACGTCATTTCATCAATTTGGGTCTATGTTATTATTTTCAAACAAAGTTTTTTTTTAATTTTTCCGCAAATTCTTGCATCAAATTAATTATTTTACTTTTAATATTTTGGTAAATAAAACTTTCTATTAATAGTTTTCAAAGGAATATAAATTGTAACTCAACACGCTTATTTGATATTTCTAAAACATAAACTAGTCAGCCAACATAAACTGCAGGGGTAAACAAGGTCAATACTGACAATAATTCCGTCACCTTGACATCCATTCAATACTAACCCATTGACTTGGATAAGTACTTGGCTTGTTATATCCTTTGATACTTTTTAAAGATTTTCGCTCAATTATGAAATTGATCAATTTATCAGATTCATTCTTATTCGGTCGTGTATCATCTATATTCGGCTTGTGCCGCATTATATCAATGTACACTTCTTGACAAGTGGCCGTGATAGATAAAAGTATTCGGTTTTGTAACGTGACCAGTGACGTAGAAAAACATTTCGAAATGTATGAAGCAGGCCGGGGGAAAAATTTGATAATTATTCACACTTCAAAAGTTTAATAAGTAATTTTAAAAGTATTAGAGAGATTTCGCACATAAGTGAAAGTACAACTTATACGTATACGTATAGTTTAAAGGGTCATGTCGAACTATTATATTTACTAAAATCAATTTTAAATTGTACTTAATGGAACATAACAATTCCCGATATAGAAAGGTTCCATCAACTAGAGACTGTGAATACACGGTCATCTGCACGTGTAGATTATGCTCATTATAATTAAATGCTTGCTTCCGTGTCCTCGTAGTTGTAGTGTATTATAAACACGACCCTTTAAAGTGAGTCATGATCCTTTAAAGTGAGTCGTTACATAAACAAGTTGATTATTTCAAAGTTTTCTTGATCAGTATAAGTTCAATGAACTTACAAAATTGTATATACACATAGATAATAAACTTATACAATTGGATCTCCATATAAAGCTTTGCCTACATGTGTGTGGAACAATTGACCGCAAGCATTTTTTAGAATTAATTGGCTGAGTAAGAACAGTATCCAATCAAATACTTTAACCATCAATTTGAAACACCAATCAAACCAGTAGGTTCTAGCAATTCCTGGAAACGACCCATTCAGTAGCTCAACAAATGACATACAAGGTGTTTCATAACGAGCATCTCCAAAAAGTCAATTTGAGAAGAGATTGGTCTATATGTACGTACTATATATGAGCCTATTTTATTCTAGACAAACACATTTGGATCAACTAAACATGCTACAATTCAAGAAAGTACAAATGGCATCCCTTTGACCTTTATTTATTACAGTCCGAGAAGATATTTCCTGACGAAAAGCCCACATTATGAAACACCTTGTACCTTTTCTTATAAGTATAAGTATACGTTATAAGTTGTATTTTATGTATGTGCGAAATCTCTCTAAAATCTCACGCTGCGTGTGCCATTGTTTCGTGAAGAATATACAGATGGCACAAGTCGCGTGACTAGAGCATAAGTCACGTGACTTTAACCCACAATAAAACATGAACATTCGATTTGATGTTACATCAAATCATCAAGTTTTGTTACGTGACTATAAAGTCCACATAAATAAGTGTATCGCAAAC